AAAAGGACAGCAACTTGTCTGTTCCCCTCCCCCAATTCCCCAATAAAATCTTAAAAAAAAAAAATTTTAACTGATACATTTTTAATATAAAACTTATTTAAGAACAAAAAGCACAATTCCCTATATGTTCAAGTCTCTTCATGTCCTTCCATATAGTTTTCCTTCTATTTCTTATTAAAGTTCATTTCTAGGGTAATTTATGATATACAGTAATACCTTGGTTTGTGAGCATAATTTGTTCCGGAAACAAACGACTTGTATTGCAAGACATCACTCGTTTACCATGTTAAAATGTATTAGAAATGTTCACTCGTCTTGCGGAACCAAGTTGCAAACCAAGTTGCTTGCAATCCAAGGTTTATTGCTACTGAGGATGGCACTTTTTTATATCTAGCCATCTTTCTATTGCTTCTAAAAGCTTTCCCATTGATTATTTTGTCTTTTCTCAGGTTTAACATAGATATGCTTTTCTTCTTTACATATAAAAGTGCTTAGAGCAGTAGCTGACACAAGTGGATGCCCAATAAACATTCGTAATTATCTTCTCCAATATTTTATTTTATTCTCTTAGCTAATTGTACTGACTAGCAGTTCCAGGACAAAATGGTGATGACAGTCTTATATTTGACTTTTTGGGGATGCTTCTATGTATTTTACTATTAAATACATGCTAATGACCATCTTTTAAATATGGGGTTTAAAAATAAATAAAGTATCTTTCTAATACTATTTTTTAAAGCTCAAATCAAAAGTGGACATCTGATTTGTATTAAATGTTTTTTTACCATCTAAAGATATCATATGGTGAATTATGTTAAGAGGTCTCAATATTGAACCATCCTTGCATTTCTGGAACAATTTCCCTTGGCCATAGTTTCCATTTGCTGACATTTAATTTATTTATATTCATAAATGAGATGAATCTGTAGTTCCTTTTTTTAGGGTTATCACTGTCACATTTTGATATTAGCATTATGCAGGCTTTACACAAATATATGTAAAATGTTCATTACTTTTCTATGCTCTGGAATATTTCAGATGGCATAGAAAAGTTTTAGTCACTAGAGGACTAAAAAAAATTTGCTCATAAACTGTTTGGGCATGCTGCTTTCTGAGGCACAGCTTTTTTTATTACTTTCTCAATTTTTTCTCTGGTTACTGGTCTATGTATTTCCTATCTTTTCACTGTGTTATGTATATATAAAATATTATTTCATTATATCACCTTACTGATATTTCCCCCTACAAAACAACAGGCAGCTATACATTCACTTACAGTGGGGTCGGTCCAGAGAGAACATCTCGAACACTCTTGGCAGGGAGCTCCTGGAGAGCGAGGATGCTGGCAGAAATGGTCATACCCATTGATGGATACTCGACAGAGGTAGCACATTTGGGCACCGCAGCGGCAAGACATGCGGTTGCAGCCTTCGGATTTGATGAGGCCAGTCCCACATTTGTGGCATTTTCTAATGCGGGCAGCAGTCATTTTTTCTTCACTAAAAAAAGAACACATGATTAGAGATAGATAGCAGGGGAGATGAAGAGGAAAGAGAAATATTATGGCTACAAAGTATTTACTTCTTTCCCTATAAGGAAGGTACTAAAAAAATACAAGTGGAAACTTTAGTCAGCATTGCTCAAGCAGTAGTTCACCGTTATCAGAAGTGTCTGGATGCTGATGGTAACCACTCTGAGCACTTCCTGTAATTGCAGAAGTCAAATGTGACTTGTATTCATCTTCTGTTATTGGTATATATTGAGTATTACAATTTTAATAGTTTTCTTTCTTGAAATGTGTATACATTTTTTTGGCACCCTCTGTATAAAATGATTGCCTAGCCCTTTTGGTGACATTCAGAGAGTGAAACAGCATGTGTTAGAGTCTGAGAACGGGGTTCAGTTCATGAGTTGATAACCTTGGGTAAATTATTCAACTGATTGGAGACTCAGTTTCCTCATTTTTAAATTGGGAAAGCCCAACTTTCTCATAGCGTTTTGAGAGCTATAGATAAAATACAAAGTACCCTGGGGCACAGTGCCTGGCATGTAGCATTTTAAAAATGACTATTTGTTATAGGAGGCTCTGTAGGCTTAAAATGGAGAGGAAAAACTCAGGCTCTTCCTAAATAATCTATTTTACATATACAAAGCTGGATAATGGAGAGCCAGTAAGCCTAAAGCTTAGTTACATTCACACCTTAGATTTTTTTAAATACTTGGCATGGGGGTGGGATAGACAGAGTTAGGACAATCCAATAGACTATCTATGACTTCTTTCTGTTGGCAGAATCCACCTCCAGCCCCAGACTCCCTTGCAGCTAGGGGATTGGCATGAATATGACTCTGTCTTGGTCAACTGGATTCTTGCAGGGAAGCTACTTATTTCCAGAAAGACTTTAACTGATAATAGAGAGGCAGATGATTAGTCAAAATGACAGGTCTTGGCTCTGTTAAGAGCTGGCACTGCTGAATTAAGTTTTCTGTGGTGCTCTGTTCCTAACACTTGCCACCTTGGTCTATAACTGTTCATGTGTCAGCCCTTCTCTACTAAGTTGAATTCATTGAAGGTAGTGGGCAGAAGCTGTACTGGTGTGAAGAAGTATGAGTATGGTCCTGAGACTAGGGAAGAGCATGAAGGATCCAAAGGGTGGACACTGAAATTGGGACCCATCCCACTGCTTCAGGTACTTCTCCTCTCTCCAGGTAGGAACCCAGAAATAGTCTGGGGATGAGTTCTGATCTGCAGACTCTCGCCTAAGACTGAGGAAACACCGCCCTCCTCCTTCCACTGCTCCAAGTTTTTCTGCTAAGTAAGAGTAGGTAGGTGAGTCAGGGGCAGGCAAGTGCTTTTAATTACTGATGTTTAGAAGACTCCTGTGGTAGTATGCTTCTTAGAAGCCAGTGTATTTAAAAATAAAAGAATGCATTAGGAAATTGGCTGCTATTCACTTAGGTCTAATTTTTGAATGACCCAAAAAGAAGGAAGGCAGAAATCTGGCTTGAAAAGAATTTAAACCCAGTTCAAGTTACAAAAGAACAAATTAGTTCTAAGTTTTGCTGAATTGGAAACATCATCAAGGAGACAAAGTTTAAATAAAGTGAATTTATTATTGTCAACTTAGTAATGTAACACATATGTTCATGATTTCAGTCACTTAGCAACTGTGAAGGCACTTGTCAATGTTTCACATTCAGACTCACAAGGTTCTGATGAAAAAGTTTTCAAATTGAAAAGCTGTTACCAAAACACAATTGCAATTTTTATAGCACAGACTTTCTGTGTAAGAGCACCTTTGAGACTGAAGCGTGGCTTTTAGTTGTTAGTTGTCGCACTCTGGTTGCCTGGGGCTGGCTCACTCCTTCCCCAGGCAGCTGCATGAGCTGTTAGTGTGGGAGAGAAGTGGCTTAGAAGAACCCAGGTTACACAGTCCCTCGTGAAGGTTCAGGAAGAGAGTGCATTTGCTTTCTCTGTTCCACCAGTCTGTCAAGTCGCCCAAGTGAAATAAAAATGGGTGTGTAGGGGAGAAAAGGCATTCCTAAATGGATGGAGGATATAGAAAGATCACAAGCAATACTGTTCAAACAGCTACTCAACACTGAACAAATACCTATTCAGGTCCCCTGCTTTGGTGAAAGAATAGGACTAGGTAGGACCAGAATGGCCTTGTACCAAAAAAGGATTGCTATTATGGGATGTGGTGACCACCTACCCAGTAACATAAAAATGCAAAATGGGACCGGGGAGAAATCAGTTGATTCTCTTGGGAGAAGGGTGATTTGGCAACTAAATTCTAAACTAGGCAGGAAACAAACAGCCCCACAGGACGTGATCCTGTTCAGAACAGGAAGAGAAGGCTGAGCTGCAGCTGTGACTGCTGACCTCGTGTTCAAACAGGAAGGCTCACTGTACTCCCCTATATAACCAATAAAGATTCTGTGATTCCATGATTATTTTTCTCACTACTATTTAAGTATGCTGGGAACTCCTCTTTGGGAGCTATATTCATTTCTTATAGCATATACTATTCAAAGCCTTAAATGGCTTTTGCAAGTGTGTATGTATTTATTAAACTGTGGCAAAATGCACATAAAATTTATTGTTTTAACTATTCTAAAGTGCACAATTCAGGAGCATATTACATTCCCAGTGTTGTGCAGCCATCACAATTATGTAGTTCCACAACATTTTCATTATCCGAAAAGGAAACTCACACTTATTAAGGAGCCACTCCCCCTCCCACCTTCCCCATGCAACTGCTCATCTGCTTTCTGTCTGTCTCTAATGGCTCTGTCTATTCTGTACTTGGCAAATATCCATATGCCTATGGACATTTCATATAAATGGAATCATGTAAGATGTGGCCTTTTGTGACTGGCTTCTGACACTCAGCATGTTTTCAAGGTTCATCCAGGTTGCAGCACGTATCTTCATTCCCTTTTTATGGCTGAATAATATTCCATTCCATGGATATACTGCACTTCGTTTATGATTCATCATAGACATTTGGGTTGTTTTCACCTTTGGGCTATTGTAAATAGTGCTATGAACATTCTTGCACAATTTTTGTTGCACACCTGCCTCATCTCGTACCACTTACTATGCTTTATTTTATGATTCAGTAACAATAAACTGCTTATAATTCCCTGTGTGTACCCTGCTGTTTATTATTTTTTCTTCTTTTTTTAAAAGATTTTTATTGGGGAATTGGGGGGATGGGAACAGCGCTGGGGAATTGGGGGAAGGGGAACAGACAAGTTGCTGTCGTTTTGTTCTTCAGTCTAGTTGTGGAGGACGTTGCTTCATTGGCCCAAGTTGGCACCATCATTACGCTCTTCCCGGGTGAGGCAGATCAGTTGCCGGCTTCTGGACGGCTGCTCACTGCGGCTGCTGGCCGCTCACGCTGGGTGCTGGCTACACACGGTAGCCCATGGCAACCCACTGCCACAGGGGCTGCAGCCTATGCCGTTGCCGGCGACTCACGGCAGCCCAGCTCCAGGTTGAGCTGTTGTTCAGCATCTTAGCTGTAGAGGGCAGTGTCACTGGCCCTCATATGTGGGATCTGAACCGGGGCCCTCTGGCATCCCAAGCCAGTTCTTAACCATCGCGCCACTCGGCCGGCCCTGTTTCTTATTTTTGACACTCAGCAGTTGGCAGGATTCCTGGGCTCTCTGGTCCATGGAGTACACACTGTATGGTGGGGAAAGAAGTGGAAGCCCCTGGAGCACCCCACCCTTCAAAAAGTAAAACCAGATTCCCATGTGCACCTTTGAGACTGGTGCCACCATGGAAGACTTCAAAGCTGCAGGGCTGCTGACTCCCCTCACGCACCCTTTTACCTCTCTGTGGCCTGTGCAGGACGTCCTGCAGAACATGCCTGTAAGCCAATCAGGTGCTGCCTCTAACCACAGCTGCTGTTCTCAATGTCAGTTCTTACCAGAGCAAATAAACACAGCCTCTGGCAAGTGGTACGCAGCTATTGATCTGGAAAATGCCGCTATTCCCTGTCCAATAGGCAGAGGACACCAGAAGCAGTTGTAAAGGACCCTGATCATCTGTTGTCCAATAGGACGACACAAAACAGGTCGACTATTCAAATGACATGCAAATAGAACCTGGTGAACAGGCAGGCGCGCTAGGATACACTAACATGGTATATGCATGCCAGAGGGTAGGAGATAAGTCCCCTGAAAATACAGAGATCTGTCCTGTGTACAAGGGTCTGGTGGTCAGGTGTGTATATCAGGCTATTCCTTCCAAAGTTAAGCACACATAGCTGTATCTTGTACTCCATACCACGAAGAAGTCAGACACTTGGGAGGCCTTTCTGGATTTTGGAATCAACATATATCACGTTTGAATGAGCTGCTCTGATCCATTTACTGCTGACACAAAAGGCTGCCAGGTTTAAGTAGGGCTCACGCCAAGAAAGGACTTCCAGCTGCCACTGGACCCAGTGGTGCTCCAATGCTGAGTGTAGCCAGTTGCAAGAATGGACAGGAGAATAAGAATGGGGTCTCTGCTTCAAAAAGTAACCAACTCTTGTCCTTCTAAGAAATATATCCTGGCCCATGAATAAACCTGGAGTAGTCCAAATGCCTGACCACGGGGCATCAAGAACCAGTATAGAGGTGGGCAATACTCCACCACCAACTCCAAGAACTCCTATGACTAGGCCTGAACAGGCCCTAAACTCAAGAAGTTAACTGTTTATGTGCCTGCATCACATTGGTAAACCAGGGTCTTCTGGAAGCAGCAGCAGCTAATACTTCAGGAAGCCTTATCATGTGGCAAAAACCATTCTGGGTACTTTAATCCTCATAATAACACTACAAGTAGATACAATTATGCTCTGTACTTCACAGATAAGGAAACTGAGGCACAGAAAAACTAAGACATCTGCTCAAGGCTCGTAACTATAGCTGTCCACAGTGAGCATGCAGTACACCTGTCCTGACTTCATCCTTCTTAGGGGCAAAACAAAGGTCCAAACAGCAACAACAGATCCTTCCCCCCTGCCCCCAACTCAAACCAGAAATGACATGTCCACAATAATGAGAACCGATTTTTTGGGAGCTGGCTCATAGTGACTGAAAGACAAGTCCAATTGAAAAGTTTAAAGTGTTTTAGGCAACAGCACAACTGCTGGAATAAGTATATTGCCTGACAAAATGACTATTTGGAGGAAAATAATTTTTGACATATTCATCACTGCAAAGCCATGCCACTGGTCAGGCTGGCGGTCACTCTAAATTATAAAGGCTGACTGACAGACAATGGTAAGCTAGATTTGAGGAAGCAACACTAGACTTGATTAGTTGGGGTGGTATTTGTGATTCTACATATGTCATTCTATCAGCTTTCTATTGCTGCCATAACCTTAGTTACATCTGCAAAGTCCCTTTGCCATGTAAAGTAAAAATATTCACAGGTTGTGGGGCTTAGGGCACGGATGTCTTTGGAGGTGATTCTTTGGCTTATGACGGTCTGCCTTCTGGCCTCCAAAAGATTCATATCCATCCTACATGCAAGCCATAGTCACCTCATCCCAGGAACCCCAAAGATCTCTTCCATTATAGTGTCAACTCCAAGTGCCAAATCTTTTCTAAATCTACTCAGCTCGACAGTTCCAACCCCCATCAGCTAAATTAGGCAGAGCTGAGCCTCTGGATATGACCCACTTGGGGACAGGCATAGGGTAACAGTTACAGATATTCTGCTTCAAAAGGGGAGAAAATGGAAGGAAAAAGGAGTCACCACTTCTAATTAATTTGGAAATCTAGCCAGGCAAACTGAACTCCCTTATGTTTCAGATCTAAGAATAGTCCTGTGGTTTGAGGCTCTGCCCTCTTGGCTTGTGGCTTCACTTTCTAAATAATCCTTCCTTTTTCATGAAAGGTAGCATATGCTTGCGTCTGAACAGTTTTTAATCAGCCTGTTTCCTGCTTGTGGCATTTTGGGGGTCTGACAGACTTCTTTCAGGCATCCTCTCTGCCTCTTTCAGTCCAAGTTGGCAGTGTTTCTGCTGATATAAAATTCTCAAGAACTTTGTGGGTCTCCCATGTATGTCACAGGGATTCATTCCTTTAGACATGAAGCTCATTCATAGATATTTCCCAGATAATCCCACGTCTACTTTTGGCTTCTGTTGAGATGGCTGAGGGATAATGCCCGGGGTTCCTAGAGGCTCCCTGGCTAGATCGTGAGGATCTGAATAACTCCCTCAGGCTCTTCAAAGAGCCTTTGCATGACTGAATACTCTCGACATTCTGAACACATCCTTGGTTTTTTCTCTAGAGCATGCTTTTTCTGACAGTGAATCTACCAATTTTAGGGTCTTTTATCATCTGGATAAGGATGAGAATTTCAGAAACAATTAAGTCCTGTTCCATTTTGTTAACAATTTTCCCCCCAATTTATCTCTTTCCACTTGCATTTTCTACTCTTCAATACTTTGCTTGGAAATCTCCTCAGTTAAATACCCAGTTTCATCATTTACAAGTTCTGCTTTCTGCATAACGGTAGGACACAAATCAGCTAAACTCTGTGCCATTATGTAACAAGGATCCCCTTTCCTCCAGTTTTCAGTAACATGTTCCCATTTTCTTCTGAGTCCTCACCAGCAGCACCTTTTATGTCTGTATTTCTAACAGTCCATTCATGGTGACTTATGATTGAAGTATTCTCTAGGACAATTTGGGTTTGCCTGGAATGTTCCCCACTTATTTCTGAGTCCTCAATGGATGAGTTGCTAATGTCCATATTTCTACTAACAGTCTGTTCAAGGCAATCTGTTTTTTCTATGCTTCTTGAAATTCTTCCAGGTTCTACCCATTCCCCAATTCCAAACCCACTTCTACATTTTCAGGTATTTGTCACAGCAGCGCTCTACTTCTGCTACCAAGACCTGTGTTAGTTTCCTGTTGTTGCTGTAACAAAATACTACAAATTTATTAGCTTACTATAATACAGATCTATCATTTTATAGTTCTACAGGTCAGAAGTCTAGCACGGGTTTCATCCGACTAAAATCCAGGTGTTGGCAGGCTGCGTTACCTACTGGAGGCTCTAGGAGAGATCTGTTTGCTGCACATTTGGGCTGCCAGCAGAATTCAGTTCTCTGAAGCTGTAGGACTAAGGTTCCCATTTTCTTGGTGGCTGGAAAACGGAAGGTTGTTCCCTATTTCGAGAGCCTGTCACGTCCCTTTGCTCCTGGCCTTCTCCCTCCATCTCCAAAGCCTGAATGGAAGGCTGAATCCTTCTCATGTCTCTCTGACTCTGTCCATCATTGCGTCTCCATCTGACCAGAGAAAGGTTCTCTCTTTGCTTTTAAGGAGTCATATGATTAGATTTGGTTTAGCTGGATAATTCAGATTAATCCCCCCATCTCAAGGTCCATAATCTTAACCACATCTGGAAAGTCCATTTTGCCATGTAAAATAACATATTCACAGGTTCCAGAGGTTAAGGCATGAACATCGTCGAAGGGCATTATTCTGCCTATGAACCCTGTGGTAAAGAGCATAGTCAGGAAGCCACGTGCCTAGCTTTCAAATCCCTGTTATGCCACTCACACTACCTGCGTGACCATGGGTATGTTACTGGGCTTCTCTGCCTCAGCTGTCATTTATAAAATGAGGATACCAGCACCTACTTGTGGTGCAGACTTGGAGATTGCTAACTACCCCAAATGGCCATTTCCCATTAATTTTCTTAGTAACAAAACCTGCTCTTTACCCTTCAAGTTTAAGCGGGGCATAACATCACCAGGTAGAGATTATGTATGGTGTCAGTGTTGGAGCGAGCTGTGGCCATGTGATTCAGTCTAGACCAACAGGGTATGAACAGAAGTGACATATTTATATAGTAATTTCTGCATCACTTACAAATTAAATAAAGCTGCCTGCCTGGCAACTCATCTCTCTCTTTCTCCTCACCTATGGGATGGAATGTAAATGTAGCTGCACCCCAGTCACAACCAGGCAGATGAGAACACCACCTTAGGGAATGATGAGGCAATGAGATAAAGGAACCCGGGCCTCTCAGTGACCCCATGGGACAGATCTGTCCCACCTGTCTGGCAAGGCTGGACTGTTAACAGTGTGAGAGAAAAACAGACTTTTGTATTATTTTCGTCAGTGTATTTATTAATTAATATTTGTAAAGTGTTCAGCCGTAAAGGGAGTGCTACACAGTGATGGTTCTTACTGACTGCACTGATCTACATTTTGGAGGCTGTACTTCTACATAATGTCTCAGGCCACCGGTATCCTCTAGGAAAATGGATAAAAGCAACACTAGTGCAATCTAACCTAATTAAATGTGTTACCTGTTTATTAATTTAGATAGCCAGGAGAAGAGGAGCCAACATATAGAATTCAGTGTTACATGTGACCCAGGGAATAACTCGATAACGCAGCAGAGATGAGAAAAAGAGGCTCAGGGGTTCACTTCCTCGAGATGACTCTAGATTGCGGCAGTAGTTTGAGAACTTGTTCTCCCCACGATACTCACTGCCCCTCTCTGCCCAAAAGGCAGGTTAATGTGTGAGTGTGTGTGCGTATGTGTGTATATGCTGGTTAAGAATCAGTCAGAGTCCTATGAATTATGTTACTCACATAGATGTTCGGTACTTGATGTCATCTTTTTCAGCCAGCTCTTCACAGGTGAGGCCACTGTGTTCTTTCCAGAGTCCCTGACACTTCCTACAGGTTTCCTGGGGATAAAGCAGACACACAGACAGCTCCTGGTGAGTAGACACTATGCAAGTTTCTGTTCAACAAGAGGGAACGCGAAATTCTTTCAGAGGATCTTTCTCCCTTTTAGTAGGCATATTTCTAAAGACATCTCTCAATAGAAAGCGAAGACTTATTAGAAGAAAGCATGGGAAAAATTTTCTCTCCTTACATCAAAAGGATGTATTGCTCCCATCACCCAATTAGTATAAGGCTTCATAAGATGCCAGGAGCCACCTAGGGGAAAAAAAAAAACCAACTGCACAGAAGACCGATTTATGTGATTTGTTTTTTTTAAAAAATAAAATAGTGCGAGCTGCTTGAGGGCAGGGTCTGTCCGAGTCTTATTAATTTCTGCAATCCTTACGCCCAGGGTTCCAGTGTTGGTCTAGCACAGAGTAAGTCCTCTTGTTGAACTGAATGAAAGAATTGTCTAGATCAGGATTACTAGGGGTCCTTAGGGGAGACATGCCCTCAGGCATCCCTCACTCTTAAACACGGAATCATTCTCCACAGCTTAACTTCATGTACAAACATGAATTTAAAAAATTACTACTTTTTATTCTAGGGCCCTTCAGTTTATAAAATATTTTCACATGTGCCAGAAACTATCTCACATCAAACACAAGAATTAAAAAAATAATAATCCAATTTAATTTTCACAAATGAAAATTACAACTAGTAAGTACAGTAAAGGAAGATGTCAGCTTTAACTAGGGACCCAATCTGGTCTGGGGGACAGTGAAGGCTTGAGAAAGTGGAGCCTGAGATCCGAAAGATGAGTCAAAGAGAGTGAAAGGAGAAGCGCATTCCAGACAGGGGCCCAGTAAGAAAAGACTGGCAGGAGAAGCTGGGCAAGTTTGGCTCCTGTAGCTGTAATGCACACAGTGAAGAGGCCTGTGAGGCCCACAGGGGCCTCGTAGGGTGTGATTATCAGTTTGATGTTTTTCTAGGAGCACTAGGAAGGTATCAAAAGGTGTCATGCATGGAAATAACATGATCAGGTTTGTGATTTTAAAAGATCATTCTTCATGCAGAACAGATTGGCAGGAGGAAAGAGTGAAGTGTAAAAGACAGTTAGGAAGCTATTAAAATCACCCAGGAGAGAGACTAAGGAAGCCCAGACTCAGGGAGCTAGGTGAGGACACGAAGGAAAGTTGACTGATTTGAGAGAAATGGAGGAAGCAAAACTGGCTGGCTAGGTGATGTGCCGGCTCTGGGAGGGAGGAGAGGGAGGTGTCAAGGAGGATGCCTTGGTTTCTAGCTTGTGCAAACCAAGGTAACAGCGACACAAATGGAAGCTGTAACAGTAGAAAAGGCCTGAGGGTGGGGAGAGGGGGGGCAGGCAGTAAGATCAGGGGCGGTGGCGGTGATGACACAGGGGGACCTGTGGGACAAGCAGCAGAGATGTCAGGTAGGGAGTTGGGTGTGAAGGTTTAGCATCGGGGGTGGCTAGGCTAGAGGTCACCAGGAGACTGACTAGATTATATCTTCACATCAATTCTAGAAACATCCCCTATCACTGTACTCTCCACTTATTATTGAACGTTTCCTAATATATACTGCTAAGGTGACTCTAACAAGGCACAGACTACCATGTACAGTACAAATGCTTTTTTATGCTTCTACATAAAAAAGGTGGTGGGGGGAGAATATAGTGATCTATAAAATCAACCTGACAGAATACCCAAGAAATTGGTAGTACTGATTGTCCTGAGTAGCTGGAAGGCAAAGGTGAGACTTCCTACTGTAGGCCTTTTGTATCTTATACTACATAAATGTCCTAAGTGAAAAATAATATTGAGAGAAAAAATGGACTGCTCAGGGAGCTGAGAATCTGAACAGCCCTTTGGTGAATGTTGTAAAAAGGCTTCAATCAATGGAATGAGGTGGGGTGGGCGTAGAGATGAGCTGATCACAGATTCTATATGATGTTCTTTGGTCCACTAACCACATCCCTGTCAGTAAACAGAGGATCATCTGAAACCAGACTTAATCTCTGCCTTACCCGTAAAACGTCACTTACGCAGCAGAAAATGGATGAAGCTAATCAGTAGTGCCTTATTACACACCAAAATGTAAAGCAGGGGCTGGCCGAATGGCTCAGTTGGTTAAGAGCTCGCTCAAGAGTTTGAGCTCTAAGCAAGAGCGGTTTGATTCCCGGCCTGAGCTGAGCGCTAAGCTGCCAACAGGTGGCAGGATGGCTCAGCCTAAAAAAAAAAGCAAAGCAGCATGAAACCTATTTTTATTTATTTTTTTAAAGTTTGTAACAGAGGACAATTTATTACAGTAGAAAATAACAGCTCTCAAAATGAGAAGGGGTCCCGACCAGGTTGCCCAAAACCCGTTTTTGTTTTTGTTTTAAAGATTTTATTGGGGAATTGGGGGAGGGGAACAGTGCTGGGGAATCAGGGAAGGGGAACAGGCAAGTTGCTGTCCTTTTGTTCCTCAGTCTAGTTGTGGAGGATGTTGCTTCACTGGCCCATGTTGGCATTATCACTGCATTCTTCCCGTGTGAGACAGATCGGTGGCCGGCCATTTACGCTGGCTGCCAGCCACTCATGGTACCTTTACGGCAGCCCATTGCAGCCTCACTGCAGCCTATGCTTTTGCCAGCAACTCACAGCAGCCCGGCTCCAGGTAGGGCTGTTGTTCACCATCTTAGCTGTAGAGGGCACAGTGTCACTGGTCCTAATATGGGATCCAAACCGGGGCCCTACTGCTCAGAGCTGGCATCCCAAGCCAGCTCTTAACCAACGCACCACTCGGCCGACCCAAACCCGTTTTTAAAAGACTCTGTGCCTGACTATTCCAGGAAACTGGAGGATAAACAACAGCTGGAGAACAGATGAGCTATTATCTGGATCCTAACCTTAAAAAACAATACTACCGGAGCCACCCAGCAGGAATAACGGCTTGAAAACAATGAAAGGTATATCTAGACAGTGCTTTGTGGTATTCCTGTGATCCAGTTATTAATTCATGGGACCTTCTTCGTAAGGGAGGAACCTGTTTTCCAGGTGAGGCACAGGTCCATGACAGCAAGATGACTTGGCCAAGCTGAGTCAGTTGTGAGGGGTCACTGGGAAGCCACTGGTCACTGCCAAAATCACAGTGATTCTCTTGTAGGTTCATGTGTGGCTTTTCAGCCACTGTACTTCTCATTAAAGGGCCCAGGGATCCCAGAGAATAAAACTGAAATGTCTTTTGAAGAGACTAGCTAGCTAGACATTGAAACCCACAATTAAAATAAGGCAAGCAAATGGCAGGCTGGGTAAATATAACATTTGGAGCTTTCCCTTTAAAGTATACCCTGTCTTTTAAACACAGTGTATATTTTACTAAATTGTAATTCTCTCCTCTCAAGCACAGCTAGGCTTTGTTCCTAGACTCAACAAATGCTTAAACAATATTAGGCAAAAGAAATGTTCTTGAATGTTTCTAATATGAAGATAATTACATTCTTCAAAATGAGGGTAATGAGAAGGTCCCGAGGACCATTGGAGGAGGCGGAGTACACGTCAGCACGTTAACTTCAACACATGAGGGACACACATATCCTGGCTATCACATCTAATCGGAGACCATGCTCTCCATCACCTGCGTATTGTCAGATCAGAAGGAAACAGCTGAATTCAGCATCATCCTAAATACAGCAGAGGCGGCAGCGCCTTCCTTCCGAATGAGGAAGGTGCGTACTTGTTAAGGGGCAGCTGCTGTTGTGAGTGTTCCTCAGGACATCAGAGAGATTTCTCCTTAAGTTTTATGCTGCCCTTTAGTCCTCAAGAGGCATCAAGGTTTTTGAATATTTATTAAGGTTTTAACTTTGCCACAGTCTCCCTTCATCCATTTTCTGCTGCTTAAATACCATTTTATGGCTAAAGCCGAGGTTAAGTCTGGTTTCAGATGACCATCAGGGAACTGACATTTCTTCATATAAGTAGGTTCCTCAAAGACCAGTAGACACTGTCCCAGTCACCATCTCATCTACACACAGCAGGGATTCTTGCTGCTGGCAACAACCCTGAGAGAATATGAGACCAAGGGTCCAAAAGCCACCAGCCTCTGCCGTCCCTGCTCCCACGCCTCCAGGCTCCCTGTGCACCCTGCATCTTATCTGTCTGACTTCCAGCCTTGGCTCAGATGCGGGCACAGCAGAAACTGCTCACTTACTTTTTGAATGGTTCTTCCAGTGAGGCTTCTAGACTCACTCTTGAGGGGAGAGAAGTTGCTGACCTAGATAGGTGGCCTGAGGTCGCGGTCAATCCAAATCTTATCTCTGAAATTCCAGGCCCAAATGACACATGGATGCTAACCAAGTCCAAAGAGACCAATTTTAAGACAGGAGAACAGACAATGAAACAGATGCGGGAACCCTGGAAAATCAATAAAGCTTGGCAGAGTCAAAGCTTAGGCAGAACTGAGTGGGCTTTCCTTCCTTTCTTTAAGGGAATCCGTGAACTTCTATTTTTCCTAGGGCAAAGATGCACACAGTCTCCTGAAGAAGTCAGGTATTGGAACAAATCAAGTAGAGCAGAGTGGAGTTAAGTGTAATAGTGTGCGCGTGCACACCCACACTCACGTGCACACATGAGACAGCAAAGAAGAGGGGGAGGGTAAGCCAGACATGGATTCTTTGAGGTGGCGGCATCTTCACAGGACTGAATAAAGCAAGTATCGTAAGTGAGGAGAACACCCAGGCAACCAGTAAAGGACTCCTCCCATCTGAGTCAACAACTCTTTGTGAAGTGCCCTTCCCAGCTGGACAGCCATAAAAGCCAACTATCTAAAACACAGAACCAGCCCCTCAATCAAACATTTCAACAATGAAGCATATTCAACATGTTAACATTTTAATGAGCATAAAAGGTCTTCATATCATTCAATAAAATTATTTTAAAGTATTATTTACTTACTTCATCCTACCCTTTTAAGTTTTCTGTATTTCTGTATGTATTGCAATGTATGTTGCAATTGCGCT